GACCTTAGTTTCTGCTTATCTGGAAATCTCCTAATTTCACCATCATATTTGAGGGACAATTTTGCCAGGTATATAATTCCTGGTTGAAAATTTTTCTCTTGCAGGGTTTTATATATGCAATCCCTTTACCTTCTTGCTTGCATGGTTTCTGCTGAGAAATCAGAGCTTATTCTTACTGGTTGTCCTTTGTAAGTAACTTTTTGTTTTTCCATGCTGCTTTCAGGATTCTTTGTCTTTAGTTTTGCTGTGTTTGATCATGACATGTCTTGATGATTTTCCTTTGGGGTCTGTCCTGTTTGGGGTTCTTTGGACTTCCTGAATGGATATATTCTCATGTTTCATCATATCAGGGAAGTTCTCTTCCAACAAATCTTGGACAATTTTCTCCGTGGTTTTTTTTTTTTTTTTTTTTTTCTCTTTCTGCTCTGGTATTCCAATTATATGTAGGTTATTCCTTTTGATGATATCCCCCATGAACCTTAGGCTTTCCTCATTTTGTTTTGATTTTTTTCTAATTGATCCCTTTCCAAAGAAATATTCAGGCATTTGTCTTCAAACTCATTAATTCTGTCTTCCATTGCATCAATTCTACTCCTTTGCCCTTTCGATGTGTTATCTAATTCTGAAATTTAGTATTAATCTTCTGGATTTCTATCTGTAGATTTAGAATCATTTCTAATTAATCATTCATTTTGTCAGTTTGTTCTTGTATTCTCTTCCAAAATTCTTCTATGATTTTGCCTGTGTTTTCCTTGGTCTGTCTCTCAGTCTTTTGAAGATACTTAAATATAATTCCTTTGTATTCATTATCAAAGAGTTCCAATGCTGCTTCTTCCTCAGGAATGTGTTCTGGGCCTGTATCTAGCTCCCTTCTTTCTACCACTTTATCTTCTTTTTGTGGACTATGATGGTCTGTTGTCTCTGAGACATTGTGGCATTGTTGTATTTAGATCTCTGTTAACTGTTTGTGAAGAGCAGCCAGCAGTGGTGAATCAGGCTCTTCTTGGTAGTTGTTTATTGTTGGCCTGTTGGTGTAGAAGAATGTAGTGCCTCTCACTCAGTAAATGAAGCTGCAGGATGTGTGGGTGTAGTTGTGTCATATGGGGACTGTTGCTGTCTTCCACTCAGTTAGACTAAAATAACAATTGAATAATCATAAAAGTAAAAGCAAATGGACAAAAAATACACCATGTAATCACACAAGAACAGTAACCAAAAAAGAAAAAAAGGAAAAAGAAGAAGAAGAAGAAGAAGAAGAAGAAGAAGAAGAAGGAGAAGGAGAAGGAGAAGGAGAAGGAGAAGGAGAAGGAGAAGGAGAAGAAGAAGAAGGAGAAGAAGAAGAAACCCTGCTATTTCTGGGGAGAGGGCAATAAGAGAAAAAAGTAGAGAAGGAGAATAATGAAGAAAACAATGGGAAAAACACAAAAAGAAAAACAAGGAATGGGGTTAACCATAAGAAAAAAAAAATGCAACCAGGAACAGGGAAAAGAATAAAAGCTGAAAACTAGATCCTGGGAGGGGATGAATAAAGAATAATAGTAAAAAAGACAAAAGTAATAATAATAGTAGTAGTCTTGAAAGAGACAAAAACAAACTAAAACACAGAAAAAAAAAAAAAACTGGGGCAGAGCAGGGCAGGGCACCCAGGCTCTGTCCAAGCACACAGACTGGGATGGAATTCCTGCTGGCCCAGAAAGTGGGTGGGAGTGGGAGTGGGGGTGGCACTTCCATTCACCAAGAGGGTATGGGGTATAAGAGTACCAAGGAGAATGTCACACATTTTGAGTCATCTGAGTCCAGAATATCCTTGGGGTTCCTGGCAAGTGGAGCTTGTTCTTAAGTCCCTGGAATCTGGGAGAATGCTGTCTCTTTAAATATTCAAAATGGTCAAGCTGCTTGTAAATATTCAAAACGGCTGCACCTTCTGGACAGAGAAAAGTTCACAGCTCAGCTGGCCTTCCTCTTCACTGCTTCCTCTTTTATTCCCCAACCACCAGAGCAGTCCTCTGTGCAGTCCCTGAAGAAAAAAGGAGAGACATGAAGGAGAAAGGAGGAAGGTACTTAACTACTCCCAGGACCTCTCTGTAATAAGTAGGTTTTCCTCCTCTTGTTCAATGCCTGTGACTGAAACTAAAAAAGCATCAAAGAGAGATCACAAGAGAGAATGATATCTGCTTGCTTCCTGGATCTACCCACATGTAACTCCAACAAGAGAGATTTTAATAAAGTGCAGGAAGAAGCTCCTCAGACCATGTATGGTGTTGAGAGAAAATGAGATTACTTCTCTGGAGCATCTTAAAAGGAGAACATGTGGTTCAGGTCAAGAGAAGAAAGACACCCTGCCAAAAGGAGGCACTGAGATATTGAGGAAGGAACCCCAGAGAGTCTGGGGTTGAATCCTTTTCTACTATGCCCACACTGATTGATTTAGGGCTGTTTACACTTTTGGAGCTTTATTTGTAGTATGGGGCTAATTAGTATAATTACTGTCTTCTAGGAGTGTCATTCGCCACCCATTTGTCAACTTGTACTGTGCTGGCTTGTGCTTTGCTATGATTCTGGAAGCTAAGCCACTGGTATTTCAAATACTAGCAGGGTCACTCATGGTAGACAGATTTCAGTGAAGCTTCTAAGCCAAATCAGACTATGAGGAAAGTCCTGGTGATTTAGTTCTGAAAATTAGACAATGAAATGGATCATACTGGAATATACAGTGCTGGAAAATGAGCCCCTAGGCTGGATGGCACTCAAAATAGACAGTGGCTGCAACAATGGACTTGAGCTCGCCAATAATCGTGATAATGGTACAGGACTGAGCAATGTTTTGTTCTATTGTATATGGAATCACCGTGAGTTGGAGATGACTCAACAGCAGCTAACAGCAACAACAATAAGGGTGTTATAAGGGTTAAGAAAGAATACACTTAAAGAATAAGTGCTCAACAAAGAGTAGCCATTGCTAATGACAGAGCAGGACTACTCTCAGTTTGTCTAACCTCTCAGTTAGTCCAGGGCTCCTTTTATTAATACCTGAAGCTTCTGTCTGGGCAGGGTTGAGGCAGAGGGATAGAAAAAATGAGTTCTCTAGGGTCATGCTCCATCTATGCTTCTGAAATAGTTTTATTTCTCTTCTCATTAGAATTCTGCTTCCATAGCACAAGGAACTGAAAATACAATATATTTATCAGTACTATCTTCTGGGAAGGTGAGTTCTTCTGGGAGATGCTATTGATGCAACTGTGCATTTTTTCACATGTGTATGCACACATATGTGCAGGCATGTATTTGTAGACCTTGTTGTGCACTTCCTAGTGAGCTGTTCTCCATTGTGTGTGTCAGAGCAATTGGCAACCTTCTGAACAGCTTGTGTGAAATGGCTGTAGTTAAATGTTAATGGGCCAATAAGAAATGTGTCTCTGGTTCTGTCTGGAGAGGAAAAAAATAGCTCTGAAACTCAGACAACAGTGGATTAGAGGAGTTTCTAGGAGTTTATGTGGAGGACAATCAGAAACAGAGAGAGTGTGCTTCATGCAGAGGGACCATCAGGACCTTAGTAGGCCAGTTTAAGCTGTGGTAAGAGATAATGGAGAAACTTCCAAGGCAGAGGTTTACAACCTGGAGTTGGAGGAGTAGACTGGACTTAAAAACACATAATGTTGATTTTCAGGTAACCAGACATTATGACCAGGAACCTGTTGGTGGAGGCCTCCAGACTGAGGCAACCCATCATATTCACCTTGAATCCTGCTCCAAGCTGAGCTTATGGCTTTCATATGCACCTGGAAGCACAGAGTTGGGTATACTGGGTATCCACGACCATTCTTTTCATCTTGGTCTTGTTGACACTGTCAGCAAGAGATTGATAGGTGAGGGGGAGCCAATGGGAAGAGTGGTATTCCCAAGTTAGCATATGAAGTCTTAACATGGTAGGATGGGAAATTGGGAATCTACCAAACTGTGAAAGTGCTGAGTACATGCAGGTCTGATATCCTGTGTACATTGAATGAGATCAGGGATACAGTTAGTACAGATTTTCAGACTTTCCATTCAACCTCTTCCAATAAGTCCATCAACCATCTTGGATCATGAAAGAGATTTAAATTATATGTTAGAATATATAGCACAGATATTAATTGGCACTTATTCATACTTTGACATTGTGCTATGAAAACTATACATATTACCTATCAAACAAAACAACAAAACCCCAAACACTAAGTCCAAAAAGTGCAAACCTGTTGCCATTGGGTTGATTCCAACTCATGTTGATCCCACATGTTACAGAGTAGAATTACCCCATAGGATTTTCTCGCTGTAATCTTTACAGAAACAGACTGCCAGACTTTTCTTCTGTTGTGTCACTGTGTGGTTCAAATCCACCTTGGATTAGCAGTCAAGCACAAACTGTGCTTCCCAAATACTTATATCAAAACAAAACCAAATCCAGTGCCATCAAGTGGATTCTGACTCATAGTGACTCTACAGGACAGAGTAGAACTGCCCCATTGTGTTTCAAAGGCTATAAATCTTTACGGATGCAGACTGCCATGTCTTCCTCCCATGGAGCGGCTGGTGGGCTTGAACAGTTGACCTATCAGCAGCTGAGTACTTTAATCACTGCTCCACCAGGGCTCCTTATACTATAGAAGGAGCTTCTGCATTCCAGTGAGTCAAAACCCACTGTATTTGGGGAGGTACTAGGTTTGGCCCTTACATTTGTGTCAAAAGTGTTTAAATTAGGGCTGTGTGTGTGTACATGAGTGTGCTATGTATGGGTTTTAGGCATATAAGGGTCTGGTTTCTGATTTTGGCTCAGAAATGTCTTAAGTATGTATTGTGCCTTCCCTGGATACCATATGCAATATTTACTCCTATAGTAGAAGATTCTATTCACTTCTGGCTAGAGGTACTTCAGGGGCTTTGTGGGCTATGAGTCTCCTTTGGGACTCATCACATCTTTTATCCTGATGTTATGCACTCTTTACCCTCTGACTTTCCAGTTCAAGTCCAAGAAGAGGAACCACAGTTCTTCCTTCAAGAACACCATCTACGAAGTGGTAAGATTTTAGAACTGCTTCTGAACGGGTTGAGTCTCCATAGAGCTGAAATACAGCCTTTTGAGAAAGTTATCCATAGAGACTAAGAGATGAAGGGATTTTAGGGGTCTTCATTTTAGAGATGAAGAAACTTAGGCCCCAGGGAGGAAGAGTGTCTAACCTAAGGTCATATGGGATTTGACTCTTATGGGAGAGCTTGGGTTCTAAATTAGGATTGTCTACAGGCTGGTCCCCAGTCTATGGCCAACAAACAAGACATCTCTTTTTTCCAATGGTGTATGTATAGGGGCAGAAGATAAACAAATCAAAATGCTTTTCTAAGGTTAGCAAGTAATGGGGAGCCATTCCAGGACACAGGTGATCTTAAGCTGATGCTGGGGTGGACACTAATCCTGGTAGTTCAGCCCAATGGTTGACTTGATTCTCATAAGGCCATTTAGGAGTGGAAAGGAAGGACCTAACATTTATTAGGGGCTTAGTATGTATAAGACGTATAATAATAATAAGCCTGCCAGAGGCTTCACAAGAATTATTTCATTTAATCCTCACATAGTGCTGTAAGGTAGGTACAATTATATTTCCCATTTATACCTAAAGAAATGAAGGTACAGAGAAGATCCCCATCTATTAGCCTCATACTATACTTGAACCACTGCCTGTGGCCCAATTATGGTGCTGCCATTGATCACAAGGGAGAAGGTGGATGGCTCAGTATAAACTGTATTGCGTCTGGAAAAAGGAGTTCAGGTACTTACCTTGAGTCAGCAGTGCTTACTGGGGTTTCTAGTCCTGCAGCTGTAGCCTAACATTAAAGCTAACTCCAGAGTTGTGTAGGAGATCTGGTGGCGTAGTGCCTAAGGCACTTGACTGCTGACCTGAAGGATGGCAGTTCAAACCTACCAGCCACTTCTTGGAAGGAAGGTTGGGCAATCTACTTCCGTAGTGATACTGCCTCAGAAACCCAAAGAGGGGTCACTATGAGTCGGGTCCGACTCAATGGCACATAACAACAACAACAACAACCAGAGTTGTGTAGGACACTGTGTGGGCCAAGGCAGGCCTATTGGGATTATGAAGAAAGGTATGGTTTAAAAAGCCTTGGAATTGGAACCATAAGAACTGAATTCAAGTCCCTCACTTACTTCATATTAGTGGTTAACCCTGAGTAATTTGTTGTACCACCCTAATATTCATTTTCTTAATCTGCAAAATGGGGATAATAATTCATACTCCACAGGGTTTTTATGGGAGGTCTGAAGTTTCTCTTCTTCTTTCTATAGGTTGAAGACAACCCAAAGCCCACAACCCTGCTCGACAGACCTTAAGGAGCTGGAGAGCTTCCATATTTATTCCTAGTTGCCGCAGCTGTTCTCATTTCTCTTCCATACCAGCATCTGCTTTGAGAATAGTCAAAATGGATGATGCCACATGAGTCTCTACAGAACAGTTTTTTGTCTGGAGAGGATATGGGAATTTGTTCATGGTCCCTATTTTGCTTTGAACAAGATTTTTAACAGCCATTATAAGAGCAAAGCTGTTAAATAGAATCTCCCAACTTATTGGTAGGGACAAGAAAAGGTGGAGAGGTTGGGTAGTTCATAAAAGACCTCACAGCAAGTCCAAGTACTTGTAATCTACAATGTGCTGTGTAAATGTAGGATGTTATTATTAGTATCCTGATTCTCTTCCCCTGGTTTTCTAATCTATTACTTGTTTTTATTCCTCCTTGAACTGGGATTACTACATTTCTATACCCTCCCCCTGTCAGGGCCATTTACCAAACCAATAAGAAGGAAAAATAATGGTGCCTTAGAGAAAAAGGAAACAGCCCCTTTTTTGAAGTTAGACTAGCTGGTAGTAAGCAGACTGGCAGGTTCCCCAAGGTGGCCAAAGCCTGGACTTTAATCAAATACAGAGGAAAAATTTCCCCACATATTGTATCTTTACCTTTGGCTACTTGGTCATAAGGGGGCTGGACAGGAGTGAGAGTGGATCCTGAAAAGCAAGCCCATCTCTGAGTGGAAAACTACTCAAAGCCCAACTGATAACAGGACAGAAAGGCAAGTTTTGTCTACAATTATGATGTTTGATTTACAAAGACACATTATTAGAAATGTTTTGGATTCTTCACAATTTTCCTCAGAAGCTATATACTACTAAAGTTCCTAGTCTCCCTGGCTCAGACAAGTGAGTTGAGTGCTGCAGATGAGGCAATTGGAGACTAGACACTATGCTGAGCTCCTCTGAGCTTGTAGGCCAGTTCCTTTAATAAGACTTGGGGAGCAAGACTTTGAGCCCAGACAGAGATGAAGGTGATTGGAAAGAGGCCCCACCCAGAGACCCCAACAGGTGAGATTGCATGAACTTGGTTCTTTCATTGTCCAAGCCTGTATTTAATGTATGAATTTAACATAAAGTTATGGTGTTAAAACTATCTTAATTAAAAGTAGTTTAAATTCCTTGCTGAAATTAAAATTATGTAGTTTCATACTCTTTACTTTTACTCTACAGCAGTCAACTGGCACTGTGGGCCATCAATAAACAAATATCTATTTAATCCTACTGGAGAGGGGTCTGCTCCTGGCGAACTGTCACTGTCCCCAATCTTATTTACACTAGAACAGTAGAGTCTCAGATACCAGGTATCATCTCTCTCATAAAGGGTAGCCAAGGCACTTACTTTCTCATGCCCTACTCAATCCCTTTTCCTTGGGAACTGTGCCTGGCTAGGATGGTCTCTTCCTCTAGAGAAGTGTGGATAAACCCTATCCCTGAGCAAGTATCAAGAGTGAAAACTGGGGAAATATATTCAAAAGGGTCACCTGAGTCAAGGAGCTTGAACAAGGTACTGAGAGCTGAGTTGGAGATCAAGGAGTTTGGTTAGCAGGAATAAAAGCAAGCGTCTCAGTGAAAAGGAACTAGCAGGGCACTAAATGAAATTAATACCAGCTCCAGTGCATGAGAATGTGCCAGTTGGAAATAAAGTTCATGCACGGTCATGAGGGTGCCCACACACAAAGTTGTTTAGGCTATGAAGCCTCTTCAACTTCAATACCTTCATTGATATTTGTCTCCTATGATCCCATCCTGTGTAATTGAAACTCCTTATCCTGGGTCTCTTGGAAGTATGCTATTTCCTTCTAATAAACAAGAGTTGAAGGTGGGCTGTCGAGTCTAACTCCTACTACATTCACCCAATATGCATCTGGATCCAACACGATCTGTTACTGGGCCAAGATAGATTATATTAATAGATAACAGGTCTCTGATCTATTTTGATATAACTGTCTTGTACATCCATGTCTACTGATCCAGTAACTCCAGCCAGGAGGGCCAGCAACATTCTTTGCCATGATATAAAACACTAGGATGCTCTTGCACACATCCTGGTGAACAACTAATGGGAACTCTAGTCTCAGATAATGTACAAAAGTGAGGGAACTTGAATAAGTCAACCATTGCAATGAATTCAATCAAGTTATTTTTAATTGTATACCATTTACATACAGTTATGTTCCAAGTTTTCTAAACAATAATATTTGTAACTTTAACTTTAAAATATGTTTGGCAGACATGTGGACACAATTTAGCATACATTTAATATAAAGGCATTTGACCACTAACCTGAAGGCTGATGGTTCAAGCCCACCAGTCACATCTCAGGAAGGAAGGTTGGGCAATCTACTTCCATAGTGATACCACCTTGGAAACCCAAGGAGGGGTTGCTATGAGTTGGATCCAACTTGACGGGAGTGCATGTGTGGTGTCTGTGTGTGAGTGGGTAATAATTTGATATAATACTAACATAGCAAACATCTAAAGAATACTAGAAATGTTAATACTTATCTAACATGAAAAGTATTAATCTATGTATCAAGTGAGTTTCATTTTTCATTGTCTGTTGCACAGGATATTGTGCTTGATATTACTCTATATATGCTAATAAATGAGGTATTAGGTCTGACTTGAGGGCACATAACAACAACAACAGGTATAGGCCACTTTTTTTTTATTCGATAATTTTTATTTGTTTTCTCTAATTTAGAATCCTTTCATCTTGCATGTTTTTCTGTAGCCAAACCAGGAATTTATAGTTTTTCTTATTAGAAAAATGCAATAAAATTCTTATAAACTACATTGTCTGATTTTCTTGTCAGCCGCTTCAAGGAAATCCATGTATTTAATATGCTTGCTTGCAGTTTGGCCTATACCAAATAATTGTTTAATCCAAATATCTGAGCAGCAAACTGAGCTGATCCTTCTGGAGAAAGTATAGTTGAATAGCTGAGACCACTGGGTAGTTGAAGAGAGGACCATACATCCTGAGCTCCCCAATCTGGTGTGAGGGGAGGACAGCTGATAATTGGATACACAGTGTTACCAGACATCCCTGGTCCCAAGCCATTGCTTCATCTGCTACTGCCACAAATACAGTAGGAATGTCATGTCCTTTGTACTCAGCTTTAATCCTCAGCATTTCATCTAGTCCTTTATGGGAAGATGTTACCAGAAGTTCACATGGAATGCCAAAATTTCCACAAGCCTTCTTGATTTTTTTCACAGTGACGGAGATCAGAAGTTGAGCCTATCAATATTACAATCCTGCACTGACTCTGATTTCAGAAGCAACTCTACTCACTCTGCAACCCATTCAAAATTTTTCTTTACCATCTGCAGCCCTTCAGGAGTTACTTCTTTGAGGTCACAATATGACTGTCTTTCTGTTGGCTTTGATCTCCTGATGGCCAGGGTTTCCAGGAATCATTATCAATAACATCAGCAAGAACAATTCCTTTTGTGGTGACATCAACACCAAATTCAATCTTCATATCAACCAATGTACAGTTCTGGGGCAACCAGGACTTCTCCAGTATTTCAAAAACAACCTGTGTGGCATGGCTCATGATATCCACTTCAGTCTGGCCTATAATAAGATCAGCACAGCAAAAATGTTCAGCAGTCCTCAGACCACTGTGGATCATTACGGGCAACATCCTTGAAAAACAGCTTCACTTTAGGTGGGTAAAACTTATATCCTTCCTTGACACCAGGGTTTCTTTTGAGAATGGAACTAGTTGCTATTCTTCTACAAACCCATTCAATTGGAATCATTTCACACTGGGGTGCAATGAAAGCTGTCTCCCCATTTTTTTCTGGAGAAAGCAGTTTTGATGCCTGCTTCCTGTAATAACTGAAAAATACAACTGGTAATTTTATTAGAAATTGCAGCTTTTCTTTTCAAGTGTTCTTTCTAGCTGCATTTCCTGCTATAATCTGGTCCTTGGACTACAGAAGAAATTTTCCTGGACTAACATTTAATAGACTTTTTTTGTTTTACCTTCAGAGAGTTTTTTTTTTTTTTTTTTTAAACCAATGTTCAGTACCTCAGAGGTCACCATTGTCTTGAAGAGGCCGGCGGTAGTGACCACACTAAAACAAGAACCACAAATCCAGTGGATCAGGGACCAGTATATGCCATTTTTCCATTCAAGCACTAAAACTATAGTCACATTTAAAAAGAAGTTTAATCATAGATAACTCACACACAGACACACACACACATATGTGTATATACATAAGACTCACATATCCTATTGGAATGTATGAATAAGCGGAGGAGGGGGCACCACAGATCATCAGTGTTTATGGCCCTTGCATGCCTTAATCCAGGCCTACCTGAGTCTGATCTATTAAAAAGCTGGGGAAGCCACATGAGATGAGAAGGAGGAGATGAACCCAGGTAGTTTTGAGACCCAGAGGAAAATTCTGAAGTATTCTGTCTGTAGGAGCCCCAGCCCTAGGAGGTCCAGCTGCCTCTCCAACTTCAGAAGAGAGGTAGCAGCTGCTTTTCTTTTAGGTGAAATTTTCATAAGCAGAGTTTTCAGGAGAGTCATCATTCTGTTGTAGTGGTGGTCCTACCTGTGAGCCAGAACACACAAGAAAATAGTTAATAAAGCATGAAACTCTACAGTTTCCTTAGTCCTGTGCTGGTGAGAAAGTAGAAGGTGGCACCAGGCCATGATTGGTCCTTCCTACAGAAGTAAGGTCATATGGATTGGCCTAAGGAATGTACAATCAACCAAGCTGATGGATCATTGTCTAATTGTAAAAGCTGTGAGCTGGACTCTGCAAGGAGATAGAAAGCAGTTTAGTTCACTAGATCAAAGGTATACAAAAATGACAACTGAAGGCCATAAGCTACTGTCAATAGCTACTGTCTACAGCAACAACAACAATGATCCCAATATCTGCCATAACCGGAGAAACAAGACAAACATTCATATAAAGATAATTCAGGTGTTAGAGGTTAAGTTCCAAACTAATGGTCCAGATCATTAAAGCTTTATGTTCTGAGCGTTCTAAAGATCCCCTTGTTTGAGACTATTTAGGAAAAGCTCTAAAGAATAGTTGAGTCCTGGGATGATGCAGAGAGGAGGGAGAAATTAGGTGTCAGTTATGGCTTAGCAAAAGCATACACCTTTTTTGAGATATGAAGCAGAGACATGTGTCAGAAATTAGTGACTAAAGTAAGTTTGAGAATTTTCTGATCAAGTGGAAAACAATGGCCTAAGGAGACCAAGAACCTTCTTCAGAATACCTGGTTCTGAAAATTCTAAAGACAAGGATAAACTTGGTCAAGAACCTGACTCAAAAAATGAGTGCATTTCCATTTGCATTCACCCTGTGAGTAGGGTGGTTTCAAGGGTCTCAATTTCTGGAAGGTGGTTTGGGAGCCATGAAAGACTAACTAGCCATGTGGTGGCTCACGGAAAATCTGAAACTGAGAGAAGGGACTGGTGTCCATGACTTTAAGATAGACCATTATTGCCCCAAACACAAAAGACCAGGAAAGCAGATTTGGGAATGCTGAGAATAGTACAGATTTGTCCTGACGGTCAATAGTGATGTCCATAGCTGGCTAAGTAACAGCCCATGCTTGAGAAGTCAAGACAGGAGACAGATGATGGTTGAATTGAACTGCATGCCTGAACAAGTATTTACTACATGGTTACTTTCTAAATTATGTGTGCAATTTCCACGTGTTTTCAAACTTTGGAAGTGGGAGATACCACTGCATTGAGGTAGTCAGGTGAGGCTTCACAAAAATGAAAAGAAAAAAATTGGGTTGGAGTTACAAGATGGATAAAATTTTTAAATTGATTAAAAATATTCAGTAGTTGGCCACACAGATGTAAATCAGGATTTGTTTTAAGCTTCTCTGGTGACCATGGAGAGTGCCAAGGGGTGTGTAATCGAGAGAAGTTAAGCTCTTCAGTTGTGGGAATCTAGTACTACCAGTTAAAATGACCTGGGCAATAATTCCTCATTTCACAGGCTCTAGAATACAGAGAAAATTGTTCTTACCAGTTGGGATTTCTGTATAGAGCAGTATATTGTGGGTAAATTGTCATTCCTCTGAGGAACTGTTTTTCCCTGTAAAAGAATAATAATATCAGACTAGCCTTAATCACCGAAGGAGAGATGTCCAGAGTTTTACCCTCAACTCCTCCAGTCTTACATAGAAGATGAGAGCTGCCTTAGGTGCGATGAGGACAGCTTCTCTGGCTTCGCAACATCTCCTTCCCTTATTAATAATGGTCCTAGGGAGCTGAGAGATGAGTACTCCCATCCCAAGGAAACTGAGGTTTGGTGAATATGGATAGAGCCACAATTCCCTACCCAAGTGTTGCTGGTCCTGTTCATTTCCCCTTCCACACACCAAATTTGATGGAATTAGTCATCTAGGATACTGGATAGTTCTAGCTGTGGGAGTTGTAGGAAAGACGTGCTAATCTAAAGGACTTACCGGCAAGTTGAGGAACACTTGTGCATATACTGTATTCCCTTCAACCACAGACTCAAGTGCCATGTTGTCTGGAGTGACAAGATCATACTCTGTCTGCCCTTCAAAGGCTGTGTCCTCCTGAGTGACTAAGTCATACACTGCATCCATTCCACTGACAGGCTTCTGCATCTTGGTCCTCTCCTCATTCTCCTCAGTTGTTAAGTTGCTGTCAGAGCTGTTGTCTGAGGCAGGCCTAGGCCGTTGCCTGAGAGTCTTAGGAGAAGTGTCCAGCTTCTCATACCCTTGAGAAAGCATGGTTTATAGATTTTAGCCAATGATATGCAGGATATAT